AGCACCTTTGCTTTTTAAAAACATACTTTCAAAACCCTAAAGATAAAAATCGAAAAGGCAGGGGAATGATTGACGACAGAGAAATTGCTTTGTTAAGAAACCCCTTGGGATAAGATTCTCTGATACACTCAGGGTCCAGCTCGTGGTGGGGAAGTTCTCAGGAATCCATTTGACTGAGGGTCACGTTCATTCTTTGCTCTTGAACTGCTGCAGGGAATCCTAACTACAGCATAACAAGGAGGATGAGGAAAGCCTCCCGGGGTTAAGGCAGCTCTGCCAGCAGCAGGCTTGGGTCCCCTGGGCAACATTTCCATGCAGCTTAGCAGCAGTCAGACTCACCTTCCATTGCTAATGCAAATGCATCCTAAAGATGTCACTAAGGGGATCATTAAAAGCGAGCTGTAAGCTCTTGCTTTAGCTGCTGTCACCCAGGCTGGTAGGAGCAGACAGTATCGAGAGTCACATTAGATCTGCATCCAGGAAGTAGTTTAAAGCATGACATCATGAGGTTGTCAAGGTAACTTGCCAGGCTACCTCTCTGGATTCCCGTGGTCCATAATGACAGGACCTCTTAATGAACACTGAGCCACAGGAAAGGACGTGCAGAGGAGTAGCCTGCAGCCTGAGATGTGACTGCTGGCAGCCTCAACGCTCAGGCAAGTGCCGCCCACGCTGGGATTGTGTTGCTGGGCTGGATCACACGGTGAGACCCAGCGGTCCAACAACGCTCACTGACCACTGTGAGATGGGGACAACTCTCTCTGGTATTATCAACTGCCAAGACTTCCAGAAGAAGGCTCCCCTCCCTGTCCTCACCCTGACATCTGAAAGAGGCTGCGAAACTCAGAAAGAATACCTTTTACTCTCTGAGAGCACCAGGCTGCAGCATCCCTGTCCATCCTACAGTGGAACTCTATTAATTTCCTAGGGCTATGTCACAAAGCACCACAAACTGAGCCGGGCATGGTGGCTCATGTCTGTAATCCCAGCACTTTGGAAGGCCGATGCGGATGATCACTTGAGGTCAGGAGTTTGAGACCTGCCAGGCCAATATGGAGAAACCCATCTCTACTAAAAATACAAAAAATTAGCTGGGCATGATGATGCACACCTGTAGTTCCAGCTACTCGAGAGGTTGAGGCAGGAGAATTGCTTGAACCCCTGAGGCAGAGGTTGCAAGACTCCATAAAAACAAACAAACAAACAAACAAAAAACACCCAAAGCACCACAAACTGAGTGGCTTTAAACAACAGAAATTTAGTCTTTCACTGTTCTGGAGGCTAAAAGTCCAAGATTAAGGTATAGGCTGGTCATGCTGCCTCCAAAGCCTCTCGGGGAGGATTCTCCCGGCACCAAGGGTTTCTTGGTTTGCAGCAGGCTCCACCTTCATGTGTCTGTGGCTTCACATGGCATTCTCCTCTGTGTGTCCCTGTGCAAATTTCCCTCTTATAAGAACACCACTCATATTAGATTTGGGCCCACCCAATGACTTCATCTTTCCAAAGATTTGATTTCATTGCAAACACCCTCTTTCCAAATGACGTCCCATTTACAGGTTCTGGGGGTTAGGACTTCAAGACCTCTCTTTGGGAGGACAAAATTCAACCCACAACAGGCCCAGTCTTCCTTCTGCACAAACATCAGTACACACAGGACTTGTCCAGGCCTGCAGCAGGACAGGCCCCGAGTGAGGTGAAGACAAGAAGAAAAGCAAACCAAAGCCAAGCGAGAGGAGTAGAAACACTGGCAAAATGCAGAGCAACCCATGGCCTTGGAAATCAAGTCCACTTGGTGACTCCCAGCCTGCCAGCAGCTTCCATCACTGCTCCTGTCTCCTTTTCTGTGACTAAAAGAAAGTCTTTGGGACAAGGAACTCATCAATAAAGCCGAGTGGGCAGGGATGCGCTTTCTGTCAAAGGGAGCAGAATGTACCACCCCAACCAGTGCCATACGACTTATTTTGAGCTGAAAGCAATTGAAAAAAAGCAGACACAAGAAACCCTCTCTGCCCTCCCTTTTTCTACCAGAAGGGGCAGGATGATTCTTAATCACCAGAGAAAATTCTGAATCCTTATCTAGAATATGCAGAGGAATCTACCTAACAAATCTTACATAATCAACCCTTGTCTACCAATAGTTTCTCCTGTATACTTACATTCCCATAATTTGCAGCCCCTGGAAGCTCAAAGTCGTTTTCCTTAGTGTTGCTGCTTCTCTAAAAAAAACTTAGTGTCCTTTTGCAAAGGTGCTATATAAGCTCAAATTCAAACCACCCTTTGAGTTGCTCATCTCCATGTTCTAATGTGAATGCACGATGCACATGCCATAAACTTATGTTTGCTTTTCTCTTGTTAAGCTGTCTTTTGCCAGAGTCTTACTGACAGGGTCCTCATTTGGAGAACCCCAGATGGGTAGAGGAAGATTTTTCCTCCTTTACACCGTAGTCACCAGGAAAACGTATAGAATGATATCCTGGTTTTCTGTTCAGTATTGCTCTCCAAGACCTCTAGTCTTGGCAAAGACTTCTGAGTTCTATGAATCCTTCAGCCTAAGCAGCCCAGGAGGAAACAGTCCTGTGAGATGTGCCTGCCTTTGCTGTCTTTGAATGGATGCTGTTCCTGTGGGGTTAGCACAGAACTTTTGCATCATGTTAATATCAGAAGCGTGCCAGAACTCTTTGGAAAAGTAGAAGTATTGTTCTTGTGAATCAAAGTTACAAGGTGGAGAATTCTACTCTCAGAAGCATGAAAGACCTGAAGGCTGTACCACTCCTCTCGTGCCCTTTCTCTCAGGAGTACAGACAGGAGGTTCCAAAGATTTCTGCCTGAAGCTAATACCGTGCTGTTTGAAACATCACCCTTAACAATGGGATGAAAACCACTGACTCTGAAATAGCAATTTTCTCTCTGGAAATAAGGATATGCTTAATTTCAGTTGAGAAGACAAGAATGGATGATGCAATAGGAGAACGTGATTCCTACAGCCAAAAGAAGGAAGCAGATGAAGGGAGAGATTTGACCCAGCCCAAAGTTCTTTTCCATGGTTAGGGATTATTTTTTCCACATCACGAAACCAACTTGGTCTTAGGAAAATTGTGACTTTCATTTAGTCACTTGCTGGGTGCTTTACATAGATATCTCACTTAATCTTCACAGACCCCTAAGAAGGTAATGCAGCATAGCAGCAGATAGCCAAGGCTCCAGAGTCTGATCGTTCCACTCAAGGCTGTACTCCCACATTATACCTCCCTATGTGACTCTAGGCAAGTTCTTTGTGCTGTAAAATGGGAGACCCAAATTCCAATTTCATAGCATGGGTGTGAAGATTAAAAGAGATAACCTGTTGAAGTCCTCAATAAACAATGGTTCCTATTATTAGGTACTGCTAGTATAGTATTCTTATTTTCTACAAAGGTTTCTGAGATTCAGAAAGGCTAACTAACATGCTCTGGTCAGACAATGAAATGTGCAGGACAGGATTCAACCTGAGATTGTCCAACTGCAAGCTCTGTCCCCCTCAGCGTTGACTATTATGCATGACTGCCTTCTTGACAATCTAGGCCAATGCTGCCTTTGGGGCTTCCTGACCTCCATTTCAGTTCAGGCTCCTGCCTTTCAGTTTCCTCCTGGGAGGCCAGTATCCTCATGGCCTCTCCTCAGCCCAGAGCTGAGGGCTCCCCTTTGGAACCCATCCTCCCCAGAGAGCACCTCTAACCAAACCTCTTCTCTCATCAAGATGCTTTCCTCGAGATCCCTTCTGTCAGCATTGCCCTTGGCTTTCTGAAGTGACACTGGTCACATAGGTCTGCTAAAATATCAGCAGCTGATGGTGGTTTAATTCCTTGCCCTTCAATAATTCAACAATAACACCAAGGAGAGCATCACAAATCACTATGGTCAGGCAGTGAGTAGCGCTGCTGATGCAGCCCAAGCTTATAAAACATAGCCCTGGTTCTCAGAGAATTCACAGTCTAGAAAGGAAGGAAGATATGAAAATAATGAACTCTCATGCTCTAAGGAAAGTGGTTTTGAAATGGGCTGATGTCTATGAATGATGTGCTGTGGGAGCACCAAGGTGGAGACATGCTGGCTGGATCTGGACGATTGGGTCACATTGAATCAAGAGACATATGGCAAAGTATTCTGGATAAGAGAAAAAGATGATAGAATAAGCTTGAACCCGAATGACCTGGGGATATGGGCTGCCAGAGGGATAATGACAGGGCATGGCTTTAGTCCCACAAAGAGGCCCGACGGACAGGTCCTTGAATGCCTGCTGTGTAAGCCCTTTGCTTTTTCTCCTTTAGGCCAATGTTCTCAAACTTTAGCCTACCTCAGAATCAACTGCCAGCTTGATAAAGCACAGCTTTCTGGACCTCACCCCCACAGTTTTTGATTCAGTAATCTAGGGTGGGACCTGTTAATTTACATTTCTAACATTCCCAGGTGACTCTAAGGCCATTCTTTCTAGGACTACTGTATGAGTCCATTCTCACTGCTATGAAGAAATACCGAGACTGGATACTTTATAAAGAAAATAGGTTTAACTGACTCTCAGTTCCTCATGGCTGGGGAGGCCTCAGGAAACTTACAATCATGGCGGAAGGCACTTCTTCACAGGGCAGCAGAAGAGAGAATGAATATCGTGCAATGGGAGAAACCCCTTATAAAACCATCAGATCTCATGAGAACTCACTCACTATCACAAGAACAGTATAGGGGAAACTGCCCTCATGATACAGTTATCTCCACCTGGTCCCACCCTGAACACGTGGGGATTATTACAATTCAAGAGTAAGATCTGCCTCACCCAGATGTTGAAGTTTGGGGAGGATAAATTGAGATTCACGTTATAAAAGGGCTGTGAAACAATAACCGTAATAAAAATGCAAGTTATTATTTTTAAAGATTTTTAAAGATTTAAATAATTCCCCCAAAAGAATGTAACATACATATTCAAAGAAATTGTTACTAGGACCAGTGATTTTTTTTCAGGAATACTCTAATAGGCAGTTTTCTTTGTTTCACTGTGTGTTCATAAATAACTCTTTATATGTGTTAGAGCAACAGAAAAAAATGTGAAAGCTGTTAACAGTGAGGAAAATAAATAGAAATAAGTCAAGTATAAGATTATTCAATCGAGTGTGTTTAGTTAATGTATAAACGATGATGAGTAACATTAAGTTATAAGGCAATTCAGGGAATGTTCACTCAATATCATCAGTGTAAAGTAATGGGAAAAAGCAAATATTCATCTGTTTTATTAATATATGTAGTGTAAAAGTCTCCAGGCCTCCTCAAACTATGGGTTCCACTGATATCACACTGCCATGCATTTATAGATTGGGCTGGCAGACATGATAACAGGCCTTCTGTATAACTACAGGCCATCTGCGCAGACTTCACCAATTAGTCTAAGAAACCCTGGGGTATTTCACATCTGTTCATGATTATTTCAGGTTTTTGTTGATGTCCACCACCCACAAGCCTCAGAAAAAGTGCCTTCTTGGAGTACATGTCTTTAGCATCTAGAAAACCATTTTTTTTGCAGGGTTGCAAAATTACATAACCTCTGAAGAGCCTATAGGTCCTACCTAAATGGAAATCCTGCAGTGTCAGATTCCAGAATGGGGAGGTTGGCCTCTTGCCTTGGTTCTTGCAGCTGGATCCTGGGGATGGGCTGGGGAATGACCAGCGAAAAGCCAACAGCCTTTTTCCTTGCTTCATGTCATTCACATTAAGGCAACTCTTAAAAAAGGCCATTATCAGAAAATGTACCTTCATGCCACCGCAGAACAATCCTCACTGTTTTACAAACAATAAATCGACTTGATCTCTTGATCTCAGATATCTTCAAAGCTTTATTGGACTTCTACTGGTGACTCTGGTGAATGAACTCTTCTAAGAAAACAGACAGGATGTTGAAAAACAGAAAAGAGGTAAGATATATTCTCCAGCTCCAATGAGACCAGCCACAGCTACGCTTGGCTTGGGATCCATGATCTGCACACCCAGCCATTTCCCAGAGCAGTCCTGGCCTCCCCGTAGCTGGCTTTGTGCTCACAGCAAGTTCGGCCCTGCTGTGCTAATTTCCTGGTTGCTTTTTCTCTGGCAAGGGGACGTTTGTGTAATTCTCCATTCAAGCTGTAAAGAATGACTCTCAATCTTTTTGCTTTTGATGGGAAATAACAGATCAGGTCGCCCTGCCTTCCAGAGCAGCCCAATGGAGGAACATCACAGGTAAACAGCCTTTGTGGCTGTGTTCCCAAGAGGAGCTGCTGCCCCCGCCCCGCTGCCCTGCTGCACAGGTTGCGACGCCCTCACTGCATGCTTAAGCGAAGGGAGTTGGGGGGGTTGTGTATACATGGCTGTGGGGTGGTTCACATTCTAATAAATGGATAGTCTCCTCTCAATTAACTCATTGCAGGGAGCCACAAATTCAAATGCTGTAGAACCTCTCCCTTGAACAAGTGACAAGCCTTTCCACTTTTTGTTGGTTTTCACATACACACAAATGATAAATTTACCTATAAGTTACGATCTGTGCAATGCTCAAACCCTGACCATGGGTTACCAACCCTGCCTGGAAGGGAATATGAAATCCAGACACACGTTGCAGAGCCATATGAGTTGATGGAGTTGGAACAGTTGTTTTGAGCTAATGGGAGGTTTTCCTTCTACCATAGTACCAAGGAGACACAATGCCGCTGGTGTTAACTCCAGACCTAAATTCAAAATCTCGATGTTGTTGCCTGTAAACAATTTTACAATGCTGCACCTTGTAACTAATTTTTTAAAAGGTAAAACATGTGAAAGAAATGACAGAACATTAAATCATTGTCATTTTCTTTGATTTCTGTTTCATCTGGTATTTAGAAGCAAACTAACTGGGATTATGGGTGACAATGGATTTGGGATTAAAACCAACTACAAACAAAACAGGTTTGTGGATAATATGGAATATTTTGTTAAAGTGTGAGGTTGGCACATTTCCTTCTAATTCTTTAAAATCCACCAAAAGAAGGGTTTAATTCATTAATTTCTTTTATATCTTGAACATTTCATTTTAATATAAAATTAAATGCGAAGTAATAAATAATTACTATGTTCTCTGAATCCTCCCATTTGTTTTAAAAAGCAAAAAAAAAAAAAAAAAAAGGGGGGGTGTCAATAAAAGTTAATTTTTAATGTAATTTCTTAGCTTATGGTTATACAAATGTTCACTAAAAGTAATCACAAAGTTAATGGAAAAGTTGGGAGGGCATTTATGGAATAATGATGAAAAAGTTTAAAAATTGTCAAAAATAAACATCAATCTCTCAATTTCTGAAAAATATGAGTTGCTAAGGATTCTCCTTGTATTAGTCAAAGTTGTCCAGAGAAATATCAGAAACTGATATGACATACACATAGACAGAGAGAGATGTCAATTGTAGGGACTGTCTAAAGCCTGTCTGGCAGGCCCTTAGGCTGGAACTTAGGCAGATGCAGTATAGAGAAAAAATTCCTTCTTCTTTCCTAAATCTCAGTGTTTGCTCTTAAGACCTTCAGTTGACTAGATGAAGTCTGCTCACATTGTGAAGGGAAATCTATTTAAAGATTGTAAATGTTAATCACATCTGTAAAATATCTTCACAGCAATATCTAGAATGGTGCTTCACCAAACAACCAGACACCATAGCATACCCAAATTGACACATAAAATTAACCATCATGCTCCTAAAAGTAGAATTACAGGCACGGTGGCTCACACCTGTAATCCCAGAAATTTGAGAGGCTGAGGCGGGTGGATCACCTGAGGTTAGGAGTTCAAGACCAGCCTGGCCAATGTGGTGAAACCCTGTCTCCACTAAAAATACAAAAATTAGCCAAGCGTGGTGGTGGGCACCTGTAATCCCAGCTACTTGGGAGGCTGAGGCAGGAGAATAGCTTGAACTGGGAAGTGGAGTTTGCAGTGGGCCAAGATTGCCATTGCACTCCAGCCTGGGCGACAAGAGTGAAAAACTCTGTCTCAAAAAAAAAAAAAACAAAAACAAAAAAAAACAAAAAAAGTGTGCTAAGAGTGAAGTTGAGAATAGTGTTGTAATTCCCTCAACTACTATTTTCCCACAAGAAACACTACTTGTTATTTAGTCCTCATAGAAATAGATTTCCGTCTTCAAGAATGTGTGTGTGTGTGTGTGTGTGTATTTATAAGAGAGTTAACAAACTAAAGCTACGATTAATAATGACTTTAACTTATAATTTTGATTATAAAATTTGATTATAATTTTTAAAGGAAATATCTTATTCACAAGTACTTTTTAGCCCAGGGACTTGACATATGAATAAAATAAATTATTTTTTACAAATCAAATGGTAGTCTGATATTGGTGGATTATCTTGTACTGAATTAACCTCCGCACAGGTAATTACTATAAATTCTGTTCAAAACATACATCTATTTCAAGGCACCAACAGCACCTAAAAGCAGACAAGCACTGGGGCTGGGGAGGAGGTGGCACATGAAGGAAGGAACTGTAGTGACTAAGATCCACATTTATACAACTTTTCTCTTAGGACCTTGCCTTGTCTGTAGCACAGGATGGCTAGAACTCATAGAAAGCAACATTCTTATGGCTTACAGTGTTAGAGAAGGTTGTTTGAGGCTATCAGGGAACCTGGAAATTAAGGGGGAAAAATCCTAGGAAGGAGGTCACTACAGGCATATGGGGAGGGGCAAGCTTCCAAAATTACAAATAAATGACCATTAAATCCTTGGCTGAACCCTGAACTGTGTATGCCCAAAGAAAACGACAGAGTCCAGCAGAAGGCAACAGCTGGAAGGCTAAAAAAGAATATCTGAGCACAGGTTCCAGTTGCTACCTGGCACAGAAGAAAGAATTAGGCGTTTGAGTCCTGCCAATAACCTTGTTTAATAGAAAGAGAAACCTGAGATATTTAAAGTTTACAATATGGTATAGCCAATATGACTTTGTTGTGGCTTTTGTTCTTGTCCCAAGAAAGCCGATCAGAAATAATGTTGGCAAACGTGGCCTACATATAAGCCTATACACTGATGCATCACGATTTGGTGAATGATGATCAAGAGTACTCACCAGTGGATTCTCAGCCATGATCCATCTGTGCCAGGTGATAAAGCATTTTCATCAAAATGCTATCTGGTGAATAGCTCTTTTAACTTGTAGAATCATCATGAAGAGCAGCTCTTTTAACTTGTAGAATCATCAAAGTAGGGGAAAAGAGAATGAGTGGAACACTAATCATCAAGATCTAGATTCAATTGGCCTTGATAAGTTGAAGAAGAGGTTAAAATTTAATAGGATGCAATTTAATGGACAAACTCTTAGGAAAGAGGATCAGAAATCATAAAGAAATACAACAAAGCCAGTGATAGACTAGTTCAGTGGTTCTTGAACTTTTGATATCAGGATCCTTTCACTCTCTTAAAAAATATTATGGCTATACAAAACTATAATTTCTGTGAATTATATCTATTGATATTTAATAGATTCTAAACTAAAATTAAGAAGTTTTGAAATGTATTTTTAATTCATTTAAATACAGCAATAAAAATTCCATTTTATATTAATTTAAGTAACATACTTTTATGAAAAAAATAGTGGCTGACAAGCTTGGCATTATTTTACATTTCTACAAATCTCCTTAATGTCTGGCTCACTAGAAGACAGCTGGAGTCTCATGTCTGATTCTACATTCAGTATGTTAAAATATCACATATCATGTGCCCTTTGGAAAACTCTACACTTGTGAAAGCATATGAGTGAAAACTACAAATAACATCATGATATTATTACAAAAATAGTTTTTACCTTGTGGACCATCTGAAACGGTCTCAAGAACCCCCAGGAATTCCCTTGGAGAAAATTTACATGGAATATAAATAACCTTATGCTCTGGGTTACTTTTCAGACTTTCATTAACATATTTCTTTCCTGCTTCTTTTCCACTGACACTAGTCCTTCAATCTCCTTCTTTATAGCTTTCAGGCCATACCTATGCTTGTCTCTCCTTCTAGGCAAAGTGGGCAACCCAGATATATCACTTGACTTTCTGACTGCTGGGAGAGTTTCCCTTCATCATTGCATGCCAGGGATATCCCTCAGGCAAGGTATAAACCTGAAACCTCCCACTTCAGACTGCTTCCAGCTCATTGTACAGAAGTGTCTTTAAGTCAGGATTGACTATTTTTTTCATTCCCCATGAGTACCTAGTTGTAGGGTGAGGGAGTTGTACACAATGCAGCAAAACTAGCTGCACTAAGATTATGTGCCAAATGATCATGCAATATACTGGTGCTTTCAGTACCTGCTGAAATCTAATTTTATAATTTATGATGATTAGCTTCTCAAATGTATGGCTCAGTGGGTCATAGGATACCCTGTTTATGATGAAAGCTCAGTTTGCATGGTCACTTGATATCTCTAGAACTTAATAGCAAGCCAAGGGCTGTTTCTAAAGAGGAGAATAAGTATTTTTTGAAGAAGGTACAACTCTGCTCCAAAATCCAAAAGGCCTGCACCATGATTATCTTAATGGGACTTTCCATAATATCCCTAGAGTATCCCCATCTACCATAGAGAATTTGAAAACCTAGGGTCTGCTGTGACATAAAGTCCAAGAAGTAAATAGAGGTGCTTAAAATGCAGACTGGTTTAGCTGCTCGCAAATGTGATAAATTGTTTCCTTCAAAAACCCCAGGGTTCCTTTCTTATGTGGTAAGAATTGTGCAAAATCTAGAAACTTGTCTCTCTTTAGATGTAATATTCTGACATGCCCTGAGCTAGAGGAGTGCCAGAAATTTCTCAGAGATAACAGGCACATAAATTTTCACTGCATTTGTATTCCACCTTTGACAGGCATGTATCTCACCAGGTGTTTGGGTTGTCTATTGTTCTATAACAAATCACTAAATTGTGGTGGCTTAAGAGAACAACAATCGTTGTATTACCTCTCACGTTTTCTGCACATCAAGTGGGAAGGTCTTGACTGGGCACTTCTGCCTTAGGGGCTCTGCTGTAGCTGTGGTCCGATTGCATCTGGTGTGGGAAAGATGAGGAGTTGAGGCATCTGGAGGAAGGCCAGGAATTTCTCCCTTCATAGAATCTCAGGACTCTTCGTATGATCCTTCACTTTCCTCCATCAAGACAATCTTTCTGTTTATATGACAGGTGGAGGCGTCAAGCACAAAGATTCTACTGAATAAAATGAAAGCCATTTCCTCTTGCCTAACTGATACAGTTTGACTGTGTCCCCACCCAAATCTCATCTTGAATTGTAGCTCCCATAATTCTCATGTGTCATGGGAGGGACCCAGTGGGAGGTAATTGAATCATGGGGGTGGGTCTTTCCCGTGCTGTTCTTGTGATAATGAATAAGTCTCAGGAGATCTGATGGTTTGGTAAAGGGGAGTTCCCCTACACAAGCTCTCTCTTGCCTGCTGCCATGTAAGATGTGACTTTGCTCCTCCTTTGCCTTCCACTGTGATTGCGAGGCCTCCCCAGTCATGTGGAACTGTGAGTCAATTAAACCTCTTTCTTTTATAAATTACCCAGTCTTGGATATGTCTTTATTTGCAGAGTGAGAACAGACTAATACAATAACCTAGCCTTGTAGGATGCAGAACCACTTCTGATGTGCTCTTCTGGTAGAAGCAGTTAGAAAAGCCCACCCAATAGCTGAGCCATTTGGGGAAAATACAATCTGACAAATCAGGTATCAAGGATATCTACTAATTTCTGCCGAATAGGTGCTGTAGCATCAAATTAAGATAGAGGACCAGAGTGATTAGAATGATGAGACAATAATGGTTTAGATTATGACAGTCTGTAGGAGAGTTGACCTTGCCCTGAGGTAATATGGCAAAAGTATACTGCTATACCTTTCAGGTGAAAGTATATTGTTTCTAGTACCCTATTTATTAGCATAATTATATAATTTTTTCCAGAAATATAACTGGTGCATAGTAGGACAGAGCAGATGTTTTTTGCTTTAGAAAAGAGATTGCACTTGGAACAAGAGACATAATTTAAATCACCACCTGATTGGTTTACAATAGTCTCCTATTATTCTCCGAGAACCCTTCATCTCCTGCATGCAGGAATAAATGTCTTATTTGGGATTAAAATAGATATTCCTGAAGCATTTATGTTTTTGGATGTTGGCTACAATTTATCTTGGGGTTCAGTATTGCTTAAATTTAACTTTTCTAGTTAGAAGTGCAATTCCAAATTCTTATGTTTGGCTCTTCCTACCATAATAGTCTTCACTCCTTTAGTCAGAAGAGTTATTGTAGGAAATCTGCCAGCAGCCAAGTTTGTCTGTTATAGCCAGGCTTTCAGAAACCAAAGACATAATCATTTTCATTGTGTTTGTATTCCACCTTTGACAGGCATGTATCTCACCAGGTGTTTGGATTGCTTGTTGTGTAACAAATCACTCTACATTGTAGTGGCTTAAAAGAACAATAATCATTTTATTAGCTCTCATAGTTTCTGCAAGTCAAGTGGAAAGGGCTTGGCTGGATATTTCTGGGTAGGTTTGCAGACACTGGGACCCATTATCAGACAGACGTGGGCCCCAACTCCACTTAACCCTTGATCTCTAAAAGTCCCCACAGACATGTTTTATGTCCTCAGAGATTTACATGTTTCAACGCCAGTGGTCAATAATCCCTACAATTACTTGGCATTTTCTTTCCTCAGTTGTTCTAATAAATGGCTGCGGATGTCTTTGAGAAAGCAAAGAAGGAAACTTGTACAATGTACATGTACTTGTTCCAATGACTTAGTGTTGTTCTACAAGGATTTATGAACTGGTTCATGTCTCGGAATTGAAAGAGTGACAATGACTCTCAATCAAGGGACTCAACCCATAGCTTCTTTTCTAGATCTAGATGTGCTTGTTTGTTTGGGGTTGTATAGATTAAGCAAGACTTTACAAGCCTATCCATTTACTAGAGTCCTAGGGAATCCTATGCTCAATTAAGCACCAACAAAGATTCCTATGGGTCAGACTTGTAATTATAACTCTAGCCTACTATTTATTTCAGCAACAGATCGCTTTTTTCTGGTGATTAATTACTGACACTGGAGATTTCATCATATCCTAAACTGGGGAGCTTGTTTCAAAGCCAGAATTTTTCAAAGCCTTCATCATAGGCTACCAAAGATAACAACATTTGCTCCCAAGCACTTAAAAAATATACGTACTTATATAGCCAATATATTTTCCAGTCTTTGGTTAAGGGAGTATCCTTGGGCCCTATTCTGTTTACATGGTAAAAGTGAAGATAAATGAGTCACACAACAAAAAATTAATTAAAAAGTCTTATCTCCTTATGTCTTTGGATTCCTCCTCTCTCTATATATGAGCATATATTTGAGTATCAAGGAGCTTTACTAGGAGAAAAATACCTAGTTAGTACCTTAATAATCTAAGAAATTTTTAATATTTTAACACCTTTTAGTGTAGACATCATTGAAACCAGAAGAAAACATAAAAAGGTAGAGTTTTGGCCTGTGTCTGTCCCACAGTGGGCTCAGTGTCAACAAACCTATTTCATTATTATAGTTTCTTATCAAGTGTATTTTATTGTACTGCAAAACTTGGTTAACTGAGAATTATATTTCCCAATTTCCTTGAGGCTAAGGTTTTGTATGTTAATTAAATAAATTTGTGCTGACTCAAACTACCTATGTAAGATTTGAAGGAAAGGAGAATAAATGCCGACCATCAGCTACAACCATTGTAATAACCATTAAAACCAAGCAACAGAATAAAATGAGCTGAGACAAGAGCTTTGGAATAATTTATTTTGAAGTATAAAACTAAAATTTCCAAAATTTTTAAGTCACACAGAAAAAAAGTATGAGCTTTTCTACAATGTTAATAGGAAAAGTGAAATATCCTTTGTAAGTTATCTTTCTCTATGTTTTATAACATTCATCTTAGTGTCGTACAAATAATTTATAAAATAAATGTGAAGAGAAGGGACATTTGTTTTAAAAAATTTATTGATGAAATGTCTAATCAAAATCAAATGTAAAGACTACTGATCTAGGAGACAGAGAAATAGGCCAGCAATAATTATGTGGGGGGTATTAGAGTTTAAGCAGCAATAGAAATGTAGATATATATGTCTATATATATGTTATGTAGAAAACACAGAGATGCACACACATATATATACATACACATACATATTTCTGTAATCAGTCATTATCAGACTATTCAATGGCAATGGCCCAATGTTGAATCCTTTATCAGATATGAACATATTTCTAAAGTCATTTATTTCCATTCACCAGGTCAATGATTTTTGGCTGCCACTACTATGACAAGGATATTAAGTTACGAAAACGTTTATCAATGTTCTCCTTCAAAAGAAATTTGAATGATGCAGGTAATAGACATGATGAATTGTCGGCCTAAAGGGCCAGGTGAAGCTCATCAGAAACCGTTCAAATTCTGCATTAAGTTTCAGCCAGATTTCCAAATATGTAAGACCTTCTCATTGACCAAGCAGCTTAATCTCAAAGGCTAATGCTTCTTACTCTCAACTACATCATATGATCTTGTGATAGATATAACAACAGCAGTCCTGAAGATGATTTCTGTAAAAATAATTCTGGAAAGGACTTTAAAATTCAAGACTTTAATATTAAATTAATTTCATCAATGAATATTAGACAAGGCCAGATAGCTTTTCTAAGAAATATAAATTACCTAATAATAATGCATTGAGACAGTGCATATTATGCAAAAACGTAATACCATGTATGGTACTTTCCAATAGCCTTCTTATTTTCTTGAAAATGAGATTGAAATTGCTGAACAGAAAGAACAGATCTATTTTTGCCTGAGCTATATTTTTAAGAGTCAAAATTTAATAGAGATACTTTACCCTAAATCCTCTATTACTCAAAACAATTTTACATTATTTCCTAGGCATTTTCATCACACTCTGAGAGCAGAGATGATGAGTGTTAGAACATAAAATCATTAGCCAAAATGACCTCCCGTAGAGATGCTCAAATCATAATAGAAAAGGGATATTGAGTGATTAGAAATTATCTAAAAGATTTTCACAGATGCCTCTATTTTCCTCAACATTCTTTAAAATGCAATAAAACAACAGAAATAAAAGGAATAGCTGCCTCTGTTATCCAAAATATGTCATATACAATAGAAATTTAGACTAGTGAAAGCCTACATAAGTCGTAAAGGTGTCTCCTTAGAGATACTTCACCATATGGAAACATAAGGAAACAAGATGCTCAAGACGTTCACTGTTCAGAAGCCAATAACCACTTCCATGCATCTGAACATTGCTTACTCTGATATACACTACTTTGAGCTGATGTGAAAATTTGCAAACCGTATATTTCAGTCAAGTCTGCCAGCCTCTAGCATAGTGGTATTTTTATGACTCCAATAAAAATTGTTGCTTTTACTCTACAATAAGAATTATGTAAGTAGCATATATTTGAGTATCAAGGAGCTATATTAGGAGAAAAGTACTGAGATAGTACCTTCATTTTAGTACTATAATTAATAATAAATATTGAATTGTGCTACTTGTCAGTGATAATATGTTTCTAACCATAGAAGGTGAGGAACTCTATTTCTCCTATATTTTCCATGAATGATAATGATATCAGAGCAACAACAACCCAACACTCTTCATTCAGTTTTTACTATATGGTACCAGATTTTTAAAATTGTTTTGTGCATTATCTCATTAATTTTCAGAACAACCCTAGGAGGTTGGTATTATTTCAAAGCTCTATTACAGATAAGGAAATGAAGGCTAAAGAAATGTTAAGCAAATTGCTCAAAGTTAAATGGCTGTGTCAGATCTGCACTTTGAGCTATGCGATCCCAAAGCCCATGCTCTTAACCACTAGGTTATTATATAGCTCTTCCTTGAAATATAATGTTATGTCTGATACCAAGGCAAGAAAAGCTTTTTATAGAGCCTGTTGTTCACCTATGACTCATTTTCTCTGCCATATAATTTTAATAAGGACATGAAAGGTCCTGGGGTGAGTGCTTTCCAGACCTCTCAGGCTGTTGTTGATGGGCGCTTGCAGAGATCATGACTCATTCATCCTCTGTCATCCTGCAAGTAGGCTGTGTGTGACACGGCAACCCAGAATCCAGACTCTTTCTCCACGGCTCATGCAAGTCCGTGACTGAAGAAATTCAGGGATGGTTTGGACAGTGGGATTGAGGAAAATAAATAAAATCTATAGAGCACTTTTTCTGTTAGGTAAAAGTAGACAGAATCATGGTATATAATGAATTATTTATAAATTTCCATAATAAAATATTTGTTATGCAAATCCAATCATAAAATGCTGCATCATCAAAAATAAGGTGATATTTACAAAGAAATCCTTCTTAAAATACCCTTGGAACATCTACCTATAAATATTATTTATTAAGCAAATATTTCTAGTAGTTTTTTTTGTTTTTTTTTGTTGTTGTTGTTGAGACGGAGTCTCGCTCTGTCGCCCGGGCTGGAGTGCAGTGGCCGGATCTCAGCTCACTGCAAGCTCCGCCTCCCGGGTTTACGCCATTCTCCTGCCTCAGCCTCCCGTGTAGCTGGGACTACAGGCGCCCGCCACCTCGCCCGGCTAATTTTTTGTATTTTTAGTAGAGACGGGGTTTCACCGTGTTAGCCAGGATGGTCTTGATCTCCTGACCTCGTGATCCGCCCGTCTCGGCCTCCCAAAGTGCTAGGATTACAGGCTTGAGCCACCGCGCCCGGCCTATTTCTAGTAGTTTTTAAGGGATGACATATTATTTCTTTACCAATTTCAGAAAGACATTATTTAATGAATAAGAATCCTCTACATTTACTAAATCAAACCCAAAAAGATTTTTTATTACCAGTTTACAATGCTTATGTATTTAACCATGAAGAGCTGATGAGAGAGAATGGTTTAAGTTGCATTTTCCTCAGTGATTTAGAAGGAATTCAGATAGCAGTGCCTTTAAAAAATATGGGTTCATTTTATTAGTTTTCAGTACAATATATGCAAATAAAAGCAATCAGCACAGTAAACTTGCCACTAAATAAAAGTAGTTAAGTTGAAAAGAAATTTAATTTTTTAAATCAGGATAATGCCATTTCTCTGGCAAATTGTACTGATTAAAGATACACACTTTGTTTATAACTTTGTTGAATTTATCAATAACGTATGCAATAATTTTTCACAAAAAATTTTTTGTTGCATTTTTCTCTTTTTAAAACTTCTTGTAAGTAGCAAATTAGTTTGTTTGATGTTATTATATAATAGTAACACTGTTATGTTTGATGTTATAATAGTAACACTGTTCTTTTCAGAATCTAGGATGAGTTTGGACTTTTCCGTGAAGGAAGTCATCAGTGTAATACAGAAAAATCTCATACATGTGAGTTTATTCTTCCTTTTCACTATAGCATAATCCTGGAAAATACTTCAGGATGGCATTTCTGGCTAACATCTCAGTACTATACAGGTATATGATTGGCTATATTCCATAAAAGGAAAGGTTCAGTTAAACTTTCACAGCTCCAAATATATGTTTTCAGGAAAAGTCATAGTAGGCTTTACCAAAATCAGTGTCATTGAAAGTTATTCTATAAAGAATATGGTAAAAATTTAGCTATATGAAAAATTATACATAATGGGCAAAAATACAAATAGTCCAATGGGCAAATTCTTGGCTACTGGAATGCAAGGTAGGTTGCAGCCACAAAAAACAAGCTATTGTTTGATACTCCTCTCACTCAGTTTATCTTATCATGTGCATTTTCACTGTATCAGTTCATATTGTTCATACCATTTTTATTATTTTTCCTCTTTACTGGTCTAGTTATCACTAAGAAAGAAAGCAGTTGATAGCAAGGATGTAGGTGCTGTTTTTAGCATAAGAAAATTATTTGGAACAGAAAATTTTAAAAATTAGAAGCAAGAAAGTACTTTCAATCTATACAAAATTCAAATGGAAAACCAATTTATTGATTCAGTAATTTCCAGGGTATAATAAAATATTTCAAATTCATGTAATAAGCTAATGTAGTACAAGCAATTGCCGTCCAACAAATGATGATTCTCAGTGCGTCAATGATATGAGCATATTTCTGGGAAGCATTTTTCAAAATAAGGACTAACCCAACATTTCTTCCCACTATAGTTTTCTATCTCTTCAATATCTTTAAAGTTAAAAATGCAGCTTATCTACATTTTCAATAATGCCACTACAAAGAAGACCTCGTTTAGGTCTCTTTTAAGTTTCTTTCTTTTTTTTTTTTTTTTGTCCATCACTGCCAAAGTGATTATTTCATTTTAGCTACCCTGCCAGAGAAATTTGAGCAGATTATTTCTTATTTTCTGCAAAAAGTGCTCCACCTCATCACCCAATTTGAGTTCTCCCAGTTACAGTTCTCCCAGTACACTTTTTTCTATAATGCAAAACAAAGAGGACAGACTTTTTGACTGCAAAAAATAAAATCTATTCTACATTAACTACATATATATATATAATATATTGTTATATATACCAGAAATGTGCAAAAAGATACCTGTGACTCTCTTGGTATCTCTCACAGTTCTTAACATTTTGTCAAAGTACTGTGTGGTAAAGGTCCTTGAACATGGACTCCGTGAATTAGGTTAAGTTTCTAAATAGTTTTGAGTCTTGTTTTCCACACAAGATGACAGGTATATTAAATAAAATATGATAAATAATCCACAGGGTTAATAACATATGTGTAAAAACATTAACAAATTATAAAATTATCAAACTGATGATGAAAGTATTATTATTAATGATGATGACTGTCACTACACACTGCAGCAGAAACAAACTTGTATCTAATCCTATCGGTGGACTGCTAAGGGGCTATGTGGTACATATTTTGAGGAACACAAAGTTCTATGACAGACTTAAGTTGGAACAAAGAAAATCACCCCCTGGTAATTACAAAAAGACAACATCATGCAGTTTTAATATAGTTTTATACTCTTGTGAGTATACAGACATTCTACTGACTTGAAATTCCATTCAATGACTATTTTTGTTTGTTTTTCCCATTTTTACCACCCTATCTGTAGTACTGTGATGGACACTGCGCACATAAATCAGAGACTCAGAGGCCAGTTTTCCCGCTGTCCATATTCTGACCCAAAGTGCTTACAATTTTCTACTTTTTCCTTTGGATAAAGTGTCAGAAAAATGATGAAAGACAAGAGAACACTATAAACAAAACAAAACAAAAAATTAACATGGAAAAAATTGGAGGTGTGAAAGTCAGTTTAATAAAAAACCAAAGCCTGTATTGTGATAAGATTTAAGTAAGTAATGAAGTTTCTCTCCACAGAGAAATAAAAAATGAACAAAACCTGAGGGAGTTCTGTTACATGCAAACCTGCTGAAACTCACAATCTCTGTATGGCTTGGAATGGCTTTTGACTATTAAAAACTCCTTCCACAGTGTATGTTTCCTAAGGCTGCCATAACAAATCAAATTGAGTTGCTTAAAACAACAAAATTGTATTATTTCTGGGTTCTGGAAGCTCAAAGTCATAATCAAGGTATTGCCAAGCCATGCTCCCATTGAGGGTTCTATGGAAGAATTCTTACTTGCCTCTTTTGGGTAGCTCCTGGAAATTGCTGACATCGCTTGGCTTATAAATGCATCACTCCAATCTCTGACTTAGTCTTCACATGGCCTTCTTTCTTTGTGTCTCCCCTGTGTCTCTGTATCCAAATAGACCTCTTCTTTCTCTTCTAGAAACATCAGCTATTAAACTTAGGGGCCACACTAATCAGTATCACCCTAACTTGATCTGCAAAGACACTATTTCCGAATCAGGTCACATTCACTGGTGCCAGGCACTAGGACTTAAAGATATCTTTTGGGGCACATAACTCAACCCACTATCCAAGTAAAAGAAGGAACCTACTCAAGCCTAAATCACATAATAGGGGACAAAGATCAATAACACAATATGGATTTAAAAGGAGTGATTAAAGAATTAAATTAGATCTATATGTGTTTCCTGAAAACTGACTACATGTATACAATCTGTAAAACAGGAGGGGGAAAAGCTGTTTTCATATACTAATCTCTCAACACAGAACACTTTTTTAATTTCAGTTGTTTTTGGGGTACAAGTGTTTTGGTTACATGAATAAGTTCTTTACTGGTGATTTCTGAGCTTTTAGTCAACCCATCAGCCAAGTAGCCAAGCAGCACACATTTCAACCAATATGTAGCCCTTTATCCCTCACTCCCTCCTAACCATCCACCTCACCCCAAGTTCCCAGAGCACATTATATCATTCTTATGCCTTTGCATCCTCATAGCTTAGCCGCCAACCCACAAAACTTATAAGTGAGAACATATGATATTTGATATTTGGTTTTCCATTCCTGAGTTACTTCACTTAGAATAATGGCCTCCAGCTCCATCCAAGTTGCTGCAAAAGACATTATTTCATGCTTTTTTGTGGCTGAGTAGTATTCCATGAAAAACACAGAGCACTGCTGTGACAAATGTGTGTATTTTTTTCTCCTCCCACACTAACTAATTCTCCAACATCAGCAAGCATCCTAAATCCTGACACCAATTAGAATTAGTGCAGGCCCCACAAGTTAAGGGCTCAGTCCCACAAGACTGCCCCTCCTTCAGATGTCAATTGCAAATCCCAGGTTGTTCTACCTATGCTTCTGACCCACCAGCTATAAATCAGAGGTTCCCACAACCCTCCTCTTGGGTTCAATTATTTGCTAAAATGTCTCACAGAACTCAAGGCAACACTTTACTTGCATTTACCTGCTTATTATAAAAGGACACAAATGAACAGCCAGACGGAAGAGATGCATAGGGCCAGGGATGTGGTAAGTTCCACAGCTTTCATGTCCTCTTAGGGTGCACCGCCTCCCCATATGCTCCACATGTTCAGCAACCTGGAAGTTATCTGAACCCTGTAGTTCGGGGATCTTTATGATGGCTTCATCATATAGGCCTGAGCAATTATTAACTAAATTGTCAGTCCCTCTTCCCTTCCTGGAGGACCAGGGGAGGGGGCTGAAGGTTCCAAGCTTCTCATCATGGTGTGTTCTTTCTGGTGATCAGTCCCCATCCAGAAGCCCACCAAGAGTTGCCACATTCACAAAAAGACATTTCTATCCCCCAGTAAATTCCAAGTGATTAGGATCTGTGTCAGGAACCATGGTCAAAGACCAAATATAAGGGAGAAAAAAGTGCTTAGCATCCTTATAGCTCAGAAAATCACAAAGGTTTTAGAAGCTCTGTGCCAGAAACCAGGGGCAGAGACCAAATATACGTTTCTTTTTATATCACAATGTCTCACAGTCTTTTAGAAGAATACTACATATTGTTCATCTTTATAGCCACATAAAATAAAGGTTAAGAGAAAACATTAAATGTGAGCAAAATAATAGCTGAAATAAAGAATACAATAGATGGGTTAAGTAGTCATATAAAATTCTGTGAAAATAAGAATATATTATTTGGAAAGACAATACTATCTGAGCAATCACTAGAAAAGACTAAGCTGTTATAAAATATAAAAGAAAAGCTAAAATACATGGAAGATAGAAACAGAAGGCCAACATCCAGAAGACAGAAGGCTTTAAAGGACAGGGAAATGAAAACAAAGAGGAGGAAATATTTGAAGAAACAATGAAAATAAATTTCTAGAATTTAAAGAAGATAAAAAACCTCAGGTTGAAAGGGTTTATGTAGCTCCAATATGAAAAAACGACACCCAAACACATTAAGGTGAAGTTTAAGAATATCAAAGACAAAGAGAAAATTAAAAATCCTTCCAGAGAGAAAGAAAGGACTGATAAGGATGATGGACATAAAACCTCCATTTCTGAATTAGATTTTTTCTGTTTTAGGTACTAGGAATTTAACCAAAAAAATAAAAGATCCATAAATGCTGAAGTATCTGGTAAGCTTAAAGCAAAGTCTACTGATGGAACATAATTTCAATTCTTTTTTGTAAACCTCAAAATGTGTAATTATTTAGCCCAAGTGTTTTTACACATTCCTTTTTCTCCATTCGAAGAACTTTTCTTTGGCAAATATTTTATAAGACAAAACTTGATTCTGTCGAATGTTTCATCAGACCGAAATGCTGAAAATTATAATAATTCTTAATTTAATTCCATTGTGGTCAATAATAGAAATTCATTCCATTAAAAGTAGTGATACTGATAAAAATTTTTCTCAGAGGTCAATAAACTCAAATAGCCATTGTTGGTTTTGAAAATTAAATCTTTAACCTTTCAATCTTTCAGTGTTTAATTTGTGCAGCTCTTCCCCTGCTCCTATAGTAATAAACTTTAGTGTCCTCTCATTTGTGATATATTGTTAACAATTGCAATTGACTAAC